TTAAAATAAGGCCGCTTATAACATACAAATTTATCAATGCTGTAAATTCTATTCATCTTAATGCTGAGTATAGATTAATATTATAAAACCAATGCTTGTTTCTATTAGTCTGGTGGAGGTAATGAGTTAAAAATAGTTTATTGAGCAATGTCTCCTAATTTCAAAATGATGGACTGAGTAGACACTAAAACATTGCGACTCAGCATAGAAAGAGATTTTAAAATAAATAAATGAATGCCATGGTACAAAAGGGGAAATCTTAGTAGTCCTGAAACTGAGATACAGCCCTGAAAAAAAGGAACCAGATCTTTAAAAAGCCATTATCAACAGATAAGCTGAAAGACTGAATGCAGATAGCTAAAGAGTGAACCAAGAAAAGATAATGCACTGAGGAAATCCCTAAAAACACAGCTCAAAGCAATTTTTTTTTAACATAACACTGTGGAAAGAGTCAAAATTTCCAACATTTATCTAGTACGTAATCTGGAAAGAGAAAAGAGAGAAAAATGGAAGAACAATAATATTTGAAAAAGTGGCTGATAATTTCCCAGAACCAAAGAAACACTTGAGTCCTCAGGTTAAGAGAGATCACAAAGTAGAAGAGGTAATTTTTTAAAATAGACAACAAGCCAATAAACAATCAAATTTTAAAAGAAACCTAGATATATCAAAGTGATACTTATAATTATCAGAAAGAAAATTCTCAAAGAGATAAAATGTATTAATAGGCTGGAAATAAAATTCCAGAAAATGAGAATCAGATTGACTTCAGACGTGTCTCATCATCCACAGTGCACATAAAAAGAGAATAAACAACCGTAAACTAGAATGGCAAATGCAACCAGATTATCAACCATTATTATCATTTCCATTAACTGAAAGGAAAGTTGTAATAACAACTGTCTTGAACATACAATGTCTCTATATTAATCACTACTGATCCTCTATTTAAAACTCACACACAGAGTTAAATCTTTAATAGTTTGATGATAAAAAATGAATTTATAATAACTTGGAACTAAATTTCCAAATGACAGAAATATCGGATGGAGGAGCAGGGCAAGAAGAACTAAAACAGTTGTTCTCATTTCAATGGAGGATGTGTAGATACCGATGATATTTATTTTTCTTAGTTAAAGAATGTCCTCTCAGGGCAAGGTACAGAGTAGAACTAAGGTAGCCACTCATGTCACATGATCTACCACTCCCATGACAAGTCTAAAACACACATTATTCAAAGGTATTTTAAAAATTAATATGGTATTTACAAGTTTTTGTAGGGATATATGCTTTATTTATCTTGGATAAGTATCTAGGAATGGAATGATGACTCAGGCAGTAGGTATATGTTTAACATTTTAAGATACAGCTAAAATGTTTTCCAAAGTCACCACAGCACTTAACATCCCCACCAGCAGTATATGGGGGTTCTAGATCCTCCAGATCCTCACACCACTTAGTATAATCAGTCCTTTTAATTTTAGATGATAGATGACAGATAGCTTGATGATAGATAGATAATAGAATATAGTGGTATCTAATCTTCATTTCCCTAATGACTAGTGACAGTAACCATCTTTTCTGGTGCTTATTTATATCTTCTCAGATGAAGTGTCTGTTCCAATATTTTATCCATTTTTTAACAGAGTCACTTCTCCTTTTATTTATTACTGGCTAAAATTCCAACAGGAAATCTGTGGTTTTCAGGAAGAGGCAAAACTAGTAATTAATATGACAATGCACTGGCACAAGACTCAATAAACGATCAAATTTTGTACTGGATAGACAGCACAGAAACACACTGTGTATATGGGGAACTTGACATGTAATAGCAGCATCATTTAAAATTGGTCAGGAAGCAGGAGATTATTCCATAAATGATCCTGGGACAACTGGTTATGCCAAACTAAGATCCTTATCTCATATCACTATAAAAATTAAATCACAGATGATCTTAATCACCATTAAAATTTAAAATTTTTAACCTAAATGAAATAATGGCTCTAAGTAGTAATTGAGCTTCCCTGGTGGCTCAGTGGTAAAGAAAAATCCACATGCCAATGAAGGAGATGAGAAGATCCCCTGGAGAAGGGAATGGCAACCCACTCCAGTATTCTTGCCTGGAGAATTCCATGGACAGAGGAGCCTGATAGGCTACAGTCCATGGGGTCACAAAGGAGTCAGACAAAATTTGGCACCTAAACAACAAGTAATAATTAGCTTCTGTGGACACTCCTTTCAAAGAAAGACAACCAGACACGAGGCGTTTCCTGATGGCAGTGCATACCACTTAGGAAGTATTCTTGCAAAAAAACCTCAACCCTGAATGTGATCATGCCTCTAGAGCTAACCACTAATACAGGGATAGGGAAACATGTGTAAAATCACCAAAGGGACACTGTCAGCAAAAGCCAGACTCTGGGAAACCTTATGGGACAAACAGCTGGTTGTTCCAACAAATACATTACAAAGGAGTGGCAAAAGAAACAGAGGGAATCTACCAATCGAAAGAGATCCAAGAGACACATCACTGTTGCAAGATGCAGACCTTATTTGTATCTCAAATCTAACAAATGGTTACTATACATATATCTACCGTAATATTGCTATAAAATGTTACTCAAGCACTCGCCAAGGTACATGCATGGAATGACATACAAAGATAAGGAGAGGGGAGACGTAGGCATTCTCTGCTGGGGACACCCCCAGTTTCCCCAGCTTCCAGGCAGATGAAGTTTGCTGTGAGTGCCAGAAATAGCAGCTCCCATCTTGAGGGCAAGGCTCTTTTCTCATCCTGGTCTTGGTCCCCTCACACAGGCCCACAATGAAGAAACTGCAAAAGTGATCTCTTACTCAGACGTCTCAGAGCTGAGGACAAACTGTCTATGACTCAGGACCCCAGTGCCTTACCTGCTGGGTGGAACAAAAGGTGGATGGATGGATGGATGGATGGATGGATGGATGGAGACAAGCAGATGGACAAATGGATGGGTGAATGGAGAAATGGATGGATGGATGGAGGGAGACAAGCATATGGACAAGTGGATGGATGGATGGATAGATGGATGGATGGATGGACAAACAGATGGATGGATGGATGGATGGATAGATGGATGGATGGATGGAAGGATGAATGGAAAAGCAGATGGACAAATGGATGGATGGATGGACAGACAAGCAGATGGGCAAATGGATGGATGCCTAACCTACCAACCACATCCCCAGAGTCTCACTAAAAGCTCAGGCCTCAATCTCCTAGTGCAATGCTCGGAGACAGACTGCAGGGAGATTTGAAACATTATTTCTAAGGTTATACAAGGTCTAAACTGGATAGGTCCTAAAGGATCATTTGTTCTAACATCTTCATTTTATGGAGCATGAAACTGAAATCCACAGAGAATTGTTGCCTCTTTAGAGGCACAGACAGGTCTAGAACCCAGATGTCTTGACTCCTGATACCATGATTTTTATATTAAGGGGTTGTTCTTTAACAACACTTTTTCCTTGTATCCTTAACTAGGTCATTCAACCAACTTTGTGGTGACCGTCCTCTTACCCTCCAAGCGGTCCAAAGATTACTGGATTGCCAAAGGATCGGCTTTACTCTGCCAGCTAAATGAGTGAAAACATGCCACCTCTGTGCTCTTCAGAACCAGACCAGAGGTCTTTCCCTAATGGGGAGAAAATTCTGCATAACTTACAAATAAGCAAAAGGGGTTTACTTGTGATCTGACGTAAACGTAGCTAGTGTGGCTTTTATTTCTTTTATAACCTCAAATAAAGTGTTTGAGTTCTTTCTTTCTGCTGGTAATTTAAACTCTGATGTGAAAGCAGTGGGTTTACCCTCACATCTTAAGCCTACTCCTCCTCCCCCCATGTGAGAGGCAGCTTCCCATTTGTAAGGAGTTCATGCCCCAGCATGAAGGGGCAGAAAGAGGTTGGGCAGAGTCAGAGCCCAGGACTTCCTCATCCATCAGGGCTTCCTTCCTCTTTACATGAACATGAAAGGCCCAGTGTACATGTCAGTCACATGGCCCTAGGTCCTTCAATTTCTAGACCAGATTAAAAGCCCAATGAATGAGATCTGGGCCCACGGTGACATTCCTCCACCCTGTGGGGCTGGATTGCAATTCTTAGAAGAGCCTGTGGTGCTCTCACAAAAGAGCAGGTCACTCCTGTCCAAGTACAGAGGAACCTTCCACTTTAGGATAAAATTACTGGGCTTCCCTGGTGGTTCAGATGGTAAAGATGGCTCAGATGCCTGCAAAGCAAGAGAAGATCCCCTAGAGAAGGAAGTGGCTCCCTACTCCAGTATTCTTGCCTGGAGAATCCCATGAACGGAGAAGCATGCCGGATTACAGTCCATAGGGTTGCAAAGAGTCAGACATGACTGAGCCACTAACACTTTGATGTGAAAACTGGCCAAGTCCCCCCCAGGTGCACTGGCGCCCCTGACACCTCAGAGGTTGCTGGGCCAGTGCTGACATGGAGCAGCCACTTTGGGGTGGTTTGTTTTTTAAATTTTTATTTATTTGCCCGTGCTGGATCTTCACTGCTGTGCCCAGGCTTTCCCTAGTTGCGGCGAGCGGGGGCTAGTTTTGGTTGCTGTGTGTGGGCTTCTCCTTGCGGTGGTTTCTCTTGTTGCAGAGCACAGACTCTAAGCATGTGGGCTTCAGAAGTTGCAGCACACAGGCTCAGTAGCTGTGGCATGCAGACTTAGTTGCTCTCTGGCATGTGGAATTTTCCCAGACCAGGGATCGAACCCATGTCCCTGAACCCATGTCCCCTGCAATGGCAGGTGGATTCTTATCCACTGTACCATCACTGTGTTTTGCAAACCATTTTGCCAACAGAATCTGTTGCTTCCTTGGCCCTAATATGAGCCAAGAACTTGGGTACCACTCAGCTAGGATGTGGGCCTCTGGAGAAAGCCATGCCACCCACATAACAGGAAGTTGAAAAAACAGAATCAGGCCGGGAGCGCCGGGCCAGTGGCGGCCATGCTGCTCTTCTGCCCGGGCTGCGGGAACGGGCTGATCGTCGAGGAGGGGCAGCGCTGCCACCGCTTCGCCTGCAACACCTGCCCCTATGTGCACAACGTCACGCGCAAGGTAACAAATCAGAAGTATCCAAAGCTGAAAGAAGTGGATGATGTGCTTGGTGGAGCAGCTGCCTGGGAGAATGTTGACTCTACTGCAGAGCCATGTCCCAAGTGTGAACATCCTCGAGCCTATTTCATGCAGCTTCAGACCCGCTCTGCAGATGAGCCCATGACCACTTTCTACAAGTGCTGCAACGCTCAGTGTGGACACCGATGGCGGGACTGAGGCCAGGATGGCCCAGCTGCGTCAGCGTCTGCGTGCTTTACTGCCCAGGGTGTATTCCCAGCTGCGAGTGTGAACCGTGTGTCCTGAGGGTCTTGGCTGGTGTGGTGGAAAGCTGACCCTTTAAGGGTGGCTGCCCAGGGGGTCAGGAAGTATAGCCCGCCTCCCAGTCAGCAGATTAACTCCTTGATGTACAGGATGTCCAAATTCTGCCCATGCTGTGTGTGGACAGGAGTATCCATAACTGAGTGTCTCCTGTTTAAGGTCCTGTTCTTCCTCTTTTATGTTTGTTGGGCAATTGATATTCTGCTACCATCAGCCAATACTGTTTAATATTTACATTGTTTGTACAACTAATGAAGTAAATCTTATTAGTTTAGTACATTAGATGCCTCTCAGTATTTAACTGTTAATTGCAAACTTATTTAATCAAAATTTATCTTGAATATTTAATTAAAGTTAACTAACAGCCAAAAAAAAAAGAAAAAACAGAATCAGCCACAGTAATCCTTCCCTGCTGTTTACCTCCCTTCTTCCACCTTCATATTAAAAAACAGAGACATCACTTTGCTGACAAAGGCCCGTCTAGTCAAAGCTATGGTTTTTGCAGCAGTCATGTACGGATGTGAGAGCTGGACCATAAAGAAGGCTTAGCACCAAAGCATTGATGCTTTTGAACTGTGGTGCTGGAGAAGACTCTTGAGAGTCCCTTGGAGAGCAAGGAGATCAAATCAGTCAATCCTAAAGGAAATCAACCCTGAATAGTCATTGGAAGACTGATGCTAAAGCTCCAATATTTTGACCACCTGATGCAAAGAGCTGCCTCATTGAAAAGACCCTGATGCTGGGAAAGAACCGAAGGCAGGAGGAGAAGGGGATGACAGAGGATGAGATGGTTGGATGGCATCACTGACTCAGTGGACATGGATTGAGCAACCTCCGGGAGATAGTGAAGGACAGGAAAGCCTGGTGTGCTGCAGTCTGTGGAGTGGCAAAGCGAGTCGGACACAATGGAGCGACTGAACAGCAACAACAACCCCATCTTCATTCTGCTACCTACCAAAGTTAAGAACAGACTCAAGTCATTGAGAAGCAAGGAGCACCACTTACATCAGTGCAGAAATCAGCAACTCCTCTTGGTGCTTCAAGAAGGAAGAGGTACTTCCTAAGCTATGGGAGTGGCTACAGCTGCAGAAGTGATGGTTGACACTAGGTAACTGAGCAGCTATAATCCAAGATCAGAAAGCTGCAGGAAACTGTGCCAACCTCATGCAGAGCCTAGCCACTGCACAAACTTGTGTCTGCTGGAGCCAGCACGCAACTGCCACCACTATTGAAGAAAAAGGTCTTCTGCCCCTTTCACCTTCTGAATCTCCCTCAGTGTATCTCATGAGAAGACTCTCAATCATAGCAGCAAGGGTGTCTGTGAAAGTTCTGCCCCCCCACCCCAGCCCTCCCACAGAGGGCATGGAGTGGAGCAAAGGTGGTGGACATGGATCCTGAGTGCCATCACATTATTCATTCTGTGGGACCCCAAAGACATTCCCAGCCCTGGAAATGACAAAGAATGAACCCACAAGAAAGTCTCTGGGACTCATAAACTTAGAAAATAAACTTACAGTTGCCAGGGAGACAAGGATAGGGAGTTTGCGATGGACATGTACACACAACTATATTCAGAATGGGTAACCAACAAGGACATGTATAACACATGGAACTCAATATTATGTGGCAGCCTGGATGGGAGTGGAGTTTAGGGGAGAATGGATACACATACATATGGCTGAGTCTCTTTGCTGAACACCTGAAACTACCACAACACTGTTAATAAGCTATACACCAATACAAAATAAAAAGCTTGAAAAAGAGAGAGAGAGAGAAAGTCTCTAGAAAGAAAAGCAGAGCTGCAAGCCCAGGCAATCAAGGTAACCAAAACAAGATTAGGAACAAACACATCTGCTGCTTATCGGCCTGGTCCAAATTCTGGGTAGGCCCTCTGGGTTTCTGTGAGCTGCTCAGAGGCCCAGGAGAACCATAAGGAAACTCAGCCACATGTAGGAGTTCCTGGTCGGTAACCAAGGTGAATCCTGGGGAGGAGGATGGGGTCGGGGGGAGAGTGCGTGGAGACTAGCTGAAAGTTTCCATTTCAGACTCAATCAGGGCAGTTTGGCTCTTACTCACTATTTAGAGATATTCTCCATAATACTTTATTTGGAAAACACAAAGACATATAAATAATAAATAACACACAGGACAAGGGTAGGAGGAGAGTTTGAAAACCACTTTCTCGCATAGCACCTCTGACAAACCCTACCATCCATCAGTCTTCACATGTGGCTAAAACATCCTCACACACTATACCTGGTGAAAGCATCAGTCAGAATGCAGAAGGCACCCTAGTCACCAGACCTTGAACAGAGAGGAGCAGAACAGAAGTCCCAGGGCCTGCTGTCTCCACTGCAGCCAGAACCAGGAGACAATGAGGAGAAGGGTGGCAGAAAGAAGGGGCAGGTCCATGGCTGCAGGCAGGCCCAGGAGTGGGGCTAGGAGTACAGCAGAGGTGGGATTCAGAGCATGTCAGCAAAAAGAGTTGTCTGATTGATATACACAATGTAGAGGGGGAAATCTACACACAAAAAAATGATTTTCATACAATTCACTTACAATTAATTATTATCACACAGCTCATTATGTTACAAAACTATACACTTCCCCCAAGCACTGGTGGATAATCTAAAGTCATTCCTTGGAAAAAAGAATCAGTGCTGGCTTTTATTCTGAGTCTCTTTTGGGTTGTGCCTATCAGGGCCAGCCCAGAGAGTGGAGTACAGGAAGGGCTGTCCTTCAAGTCCAAGGGGTCAGGGTCTTGGCTTGACTCCTCTGGTCAATATAGAAAGTATGTCTCTGTTTGGAAAGCCAGCACCAGCACCAAGAATGTAGGAGTCCAGAGAGACAGGCAGGCACTGCTGGCCACCATCTAGCTGTGGGGTTATTGCCTGGGATGAGGAGCAACAGATCGGTGGAAATGTGCCTGTCCAGAATAGGGACCTGGAACTGTGGGACTGTAGCACTCGTTGACAAAGAAAAAGTCTTGGGGCACAACAGGAGCAACTAGACACTCCGAGGCCCCCAGAGGCCTACACGGCTTCTTTCCACCTCCCTCCTCCAAAGACAGGACTGGATTTCAGAATATTAATAGGTTTCCTACATCTCGGCCTTTTTACCCCAGCCACAAGAAAACCAAATGGTACAGATGCTAAGACTAGCACACTGACGACTCTCCCTCAGCTCTCTGCTTCTTGGTTCAAGGATTATTAAAACTAGGTTACTCAAACTTGCTAATCATCAGCATCTGGGCAATGTCAGGCAAGTACCCTGACCACACACACAGGCACCACCAAGCCAGTATGATTCCTCCCTGGCTCTCTGGCTCTCTCCCCTATCCCAGCTTGGGTCTGGTGTGAACACCATGCAGCCATCTCAGGTCAAGACAGTAGAAGCCAAGAGGCCCATGACCTCAGGCTCATCTGGTCCTTCCAGCTCAGCTCAGGTGTAAGGTGCCCAACGCTTGCATGGCCACCTTGAAAGAAAAGACCCCAGACTGAGAAGGTAATAAACAGGTCAGTGTATACCTCCATCAGTGAAGGCTGGTTAAATTTAATCTGGGTTCCCCTCCATCAGAGTGGACAGAAGACGCCCCCCAGGGCTGTGAGGAACAGGAAAGGCTGCTCCCTAATGGTGGGGACACTCCAACCACAGCTTTGAACCTCTGCCTAAGCAAATAAGACCCACATTCCTGGACTGCTGCTCACCCGCACTTACCGAGTGAAGACCCATCAAGGGATGGGGTTCTGGCCGGCCCAGTTGCCTCATTTCTCTTCCAGTCAGACCCACTGGTTGCTAAACTGCCAGAGGCCCTGCGTTTGCTGCGGCCGCCTCCACTTCTTCTAGAACTTTCCTTGTGCTATCCCTGGCAGGTGGGCACTTCTGGACAGAGACATGTGCGGCAGCGACAATGAGCGCCCATAGACCCAGTTTCCGGTACTAGCGCTTCAGGGGCGGGCACTTCCATAGCCAAGATGGCAGAAGAGGCAATGGGTTTCTGGAGAGGAAGGGCGAGGGATAGAAGGAAGGTCCCACAGCATGATGCCCTCCCACACCTTTAAGGCTCAGCACCTCACAAAGGCAGATAATGTGAAAGTTTAAGAAGGCTGGGGAGGCCGCGGTCTGGAAGCCACCAGGAGAAGAAGAGACCACTTTCCAAGCTTTGTTTTTCCTTCATATGCCATCATTATATTCTCTCCAGATCGCCTAGCTCTGAGAAGAAATGTAAGATTCCTTGTTAATTGCTTATAATTACTGCATTTGCCTAACAATGGATCACCACCGTCTAGAAAGTCACTGAAGATTACAACATTTAAAGAGGGGTGAAAAATATTTAAATGCTATTTACTTAGAACAACTGAAGTGGCCCTTAACCCTATTAATCCCTCCTGTGTCCCTGTAAGGGCCCTGCTCATAAAAAGGCTCTTTAACACCCACGGAGCCCTGCCCAGATTCAAGTGTCATATGCTCAGAATCATCCTTAAGGATTATTACATGGCTGCCAAGAAGGGGAGGAAGGAAGGCAGTCTCTCCACAGCCACTGCCCTAGGCCCCCTCACCCACCCCTTAACTGTGGGTGTCTCCCTGGCTCTGGGTTGTTAGTCCCTCATCTCTTCTTCTCCCTGAAGAGGAGCGTCTTTGGAGACCTCATGCTCCCTTGCGGCCTCACCTAAGAGAACTCCAGACAAGATCACCACTGAAAACTCTTTGATGCAACCCTCACAGAGCACAGTCAGGACAGCTGCTGCAGCCACATACACCAAACTCCCAAGGATCACATGAGAGGGGAACCCAGGTCTTTGTGCTGGTTCTCACAGACTCTGATAGAATTAGGGGTGGGGGCACTGAATGGATCTGTTGTAGGAAGGGGGACAACCTCTAGGGCCTGTAAGTGGTTG